GAGAAGGAAGGGTAAAATGAACTGGGGGAAGACAGAGGGGAAGATGAACCATGAGAGACTGTAGACTCCAAGAAACAGGCTGAGGGTTTTAGAGCAGACAGGGGTAAAGGGGTGATTGAACCATGGTGATGGGTATTATGGAGGGCACTTGTTGCATGGAGCACCAGGTATTATATGTAAACAATGAGTCTTGGAAAAATACATAAAAAACTAATAATGTATTATATGGTGCCTAACATAACACAATCAATTAATAAATAAATACTATTATTAAAAATTGATTTCCCATGAATGAAAGATTTGTAAATATATATTAAAATTAGTTCATAACAGTGACTTTGGATCTCTATTTTGATTAAAATACAATGTTGTGTCTATAGTTAATGACACTATAATCTTTATTTGAAAATTACAGTCAGTAGCTGTTAAAAGTTTTCACCCCAAGAAAAGTTATAACTATGTGTGGTGTGGAAATATATACAGATTCAAATCATGAGGCTATACAACTGAAACTATTAATAATGTTATATGCCAATCATATCTCAGTAAAATAAATATCTCTCCATGCTTTTATCTGGGCTAAACTTGTGATACATTGCTCATGTAACCTTTAACCACATGAACAGAAGGTGGTAAAAGTGATCTTGTATAATCCCTAAAGTTTGGTTTGAGGGGTCTTGAAGCTTTTGTTTTTGAGAAACAACCACTGCATTAAAACAACCTGTTAAGCCCAATCTACACTCTTTTTTTTTTTAAAGATTTTATTTATTTATTTGACAGACAGAGATCACAAGCAGGCAGAGAGGCAGGCAGAGAGAGAGGAGGAAGCAGGCTCCCCACTGAGCAGAGAGCCCGATGCGGGGCTCGATCCCAGGACCCTGAGATCATGACCTGAGCTGAAGGCAGTGGCTTAACCCACTGAGCCACCCAGGCGCCCCCAATCTACACTTTTGAGTAAACAAGAATTAATAAATATTAGCCATTTGTAACTTTTCTCCACAATACTCTTTCTTCTATGTCTTTGCACTTAAATCTTAACTACTAAGAGACATTAGTTCTACTGAAGTTCTGACTTCCTTAAAAAGGTGAAAGTTGAGGGATTTATTACTCTCAAAGACCAAGAAGCTGGACATATGGAATAGTATTCATGTGTCTACCAATGACTTCATACATTTATTCCTGTTCATCAAAGTCCTCACGGCCAATACCAATCAGAGGAGCTCAGAGAGTCTACTCTTGGTTACCTGGAAAGAGATCATTTATTTCATCAGAACCTAGACTCTCCCCAGTTACAGTAGGGGTGAGTGTGGTTTATACAATTTTATTTCATAGACGTATGATCACAGCACTGACTGTCATCCAGTGGAGTTTTATAGTTTTTGTAATTTTACAACCTTGCTGTTATAAGATGACAGATAGGACTTTGATTAGAGCCCTCATTAACAAAAATAAATGGCTACCTTCTCATTTTCCAGATGGATAAATTAGTTTACATCAAGTGGAAAACAATAAAAATGTGTCTCCCACTGTCTTCCTAACAGTGGTTATATTCCTGTTCCAGGGAGGAGCAAAATCATTTTTAAACATGTTTTCTTGCACTGCTCCGTTTAATATGTAAGAATAGTTTTCAGTTCCTCTGTATGTCACTGACTTTTTCATTTAAACATATCAAGGAGGAAAACATTTGTCACATGTCAGAGTCTCTAGAATTTCACCATGTTTATAATAACTCAGCAGGAACACCTCATTTTGACAGTTTTAATATAGCCATATCTTTCATAGTGACATTTTTTGTTTTGAGGTATAATGTAACCTCATTACTTTATTCAAATCTTCAAAATATTCTTTATTTTACATTTCAGTGTTTAAACAATCCACCACTCAAGTGCACCAGAGTATAAAGAGAGACAGGCAATGCTAAACTTTCAAAACAGCCAATGGTAATGACAAATATCACATGTCCAGAAGATAAACTTTCAATTTCATCAAAGACTAGGATAACATTTCTGTTTTATGTCTGAGAAACAATGAGCTGCCTGAAGCATACCTGAACCTGCCCTAGATCAGCTAAACCCCACCTTTTGAAGAGACACAAATGAGCAAAAATGTAATGCTTGTTGTATAAGCTACACATACAGAAGTGGCTTGTTACACAGCATTGTTGAGCTGACTGATCCAAGAATAGCATGCTCAAACTGTAGAAGTGGGGACTGAAGCATACTCTTGAGTCAATAAAACCTCCAATATGTTTAGTGTAAGATATCTTGAAAGGAGTAGTATAAAAGGCCAAGCAAGAGATAATGGGCATGAGGGACAGCACCTAACCTTGGATATATACATAAAGGACAAATTCTAAATACCTAAGCACGCAGCCAACCTCCCTCTTCACTATTTCATCCATGGATAACACACCAGAAAAGAAGGACCTATTTATTATTCATGGGTAAGTTTCCTTTCCACCTCTCCTTTAGTGATAAATCATAAGAAGAGTGTTAACAAAAGATACATAAGAGCCAGGTTCACATGGGCTCTGAAAGACCTGTTTTCCTGGGGAAAAAACAAACAGGAAATTTGTTACAATAAACAAATTTAATCCATTACCAGAGAATGCAGCCTACATATGCATCAATAATAGACTAATTAAAAACAAACAAACAAAAACAAAACCACCAGAATTAGGCACCAGCCCATGCATCTATAGACATTTCTGTTCACCCTCACATCTCTGAATTGGAGAATCCCACCAGGACGTAATTGCCACCAGATCAACATTAAAACAAAATCCTGATTTAATCTGCTATTGTCTTTCTTATCTCCTTCTCAATGCACTCCATTATTTTTTGGCCCCCCTTTATGTACTAAGTTTCCAAACTTGCAGGCAGTACATATGTCAGGGTCTTTTGGAAAGAGAAAATCTATTGCTGAATCATCATCAACTGTGGCTATTTTCTATAAATGCACTCCTCATCTTAAAACCCAGATTCCTGCAGACTCATAAATACAGAGAACAAACCGATGCTCCCCAGAGGGAAGGTGGGCACATTGGGTGAAAAGAAGTAGAAGAAACAGGCTTCCAGTTATGGAATGAATAAGTCACAGCAATAAAAGTCATAAGGTAGTGAATATAGTCTTTGTTATCATGGTAGCAGTGCATGAGTACAGATGGTAGCTACACTTGTGATGAGCACAGCAAAACCTGGAGATTTGTGGAATCACTAGGCTGTACACTTGAAACTAATGCAACATTGTGTATTGACTATACTAAAAAACAAAAACAAACAAACAAAAAAAAATAAGAAAACAGATTTCTGTTGCACAAAGGAAAATAATACTTCAAGTAAATACAATTCAATTTCTTCCTGGGGATTGTGTTGAAGAGAATAGAACACCAGAAAATAATAAGTCTGTTCCTCTCATATTTGAAAATGTGGTGAACCCATTCTCTGGGACTTAACTCCTCATATCATGCTAGTGGATGACCATGGATGATGTCAGAGGCCCACTTCACAAAGTTTGAGTATTCTTGTATAAATTAAGGGAGCACCTCAATGCACCGAAGTGGTTCTTGGCCTATGACCCAGTTTTCAGTTGACTACATCTGCTTCTCAGTCTAACCTTCTTTGTTTCTCTCTAGTATGAGAGCCTTTCTGAGTAGAACCAAGAGAGTTTTGCATAGCATGAATGGTGGGGGAAAAAATGTCAAAATATGCTGTTTTTGTGTAAAGAGCAGTGAGGATTAACAAATGCACTGCAGGGATATCCAACTCATCAGCTATTTGGCTTCTTTTTTTTTTCCTGTTAAAATTTTATTTATTAATTTGAGAGAGACAAAGAGAAAGAGAGAGCAGGAGCATGGGGAAGGGGAGAGGAAGAATGACAAGCATCCTCCCACTGAACAGGGAGTAAATCACAGGCTCAATCCCAGGACCCTGAGATTAGGACCAAAGCCAAAGTCAGATGCTTAACCACTTAACCAACTGAGCAACCCAGGTATACCTTAGCTATGTGGCTTCTTAAACTGAGGGCCCTTTACAGAATGGGAGATTTTCCACATTTATAATAAGCATCAATTTGTATACTCATAAGGGATTTTTAAATGAGGTTATAAATACACCATGGAATTACACTTAAAGGATTGAAAAGTGATGTTCATTATCTAATTTGAAATTTTAATGCCTGGAATACACCATCAATAGGGTACTAAGAATTAATTATAATAACATCTACAAGGACAGTGTGAATAGTGTAATTACATTGCATTACATTATTTTAAAAGCATTATTTATGTAAAGAGTTAAAATATATAATAACATTAGTAAATTTTTTGGCATTGCTTTTTCTTTGATTGCAATGGATACCACCAAAAGAGGGAGTGCTTAGGACTTCTCTCTGTGTGTGAGATATTTTTCAGTCAAAAATCTCTTTCTTAAAGCAGGACATAACTGTCAAACAATGTAAACTTACAGTGTGCCTTGATAAGAGTGATATAATGTCCAGTATCTCTAAGATCATGAAGGAGAGAATGTTCCAGAATACCAGACTTAAGTTCCAAAATGTCAAAGCTGAAAGGGAACTGGAGGTCATGTGATTTGTTCCCCTTATTCAACTTCAAAAAAGTAAAGTAACAGCAAGAGGGTAGTTGAGGGGCCTTCGAACTTTAAGTCTTGCAATTTGTTAAAAATACTTTATTTATTTATTTATTTATTTATCTGAGATACAGAGTGAGAGAAGAAGAGAAAGAGAGAGACCATGTGATGGCAGAGGGTGAGAGGGAGACACAGACTTCCTACTGAGCAGGGTGTCTGATGTAGGACTCTATCCTAGGACTCTGGGATCATGCCGAGCCAAAGGCAGTTGCCCAACCAAATGAGCAAACCAGGTGCCCCAAGTCTTGCAGTTCTTGATGAAATCACAAAACCTCCCTGTACATGCTGTATTTGTTGACATTAGGGTTCTGTGGATAGAAAAACATCCAGGCAAGTATTTGAACTCCAGAGACTTCATTTTTCTTCAAGCTGTGTGTCTCGGCACCACATTTTCTTCATGGCATTCTTCATGTCTGTGTTTCTCAGTGTGTAGATGAGAGGGTTGAACATGGGGGCAATCATGGTGTAAAATAGGGCAAAAACCTTGTCATTACTGACAGAATCAGCCATGGGGACATATGTGAAGATGAGGGGCAAGAAGAACATGAACACAACAGTGATGTGTGAGCCGCAGGTGGAGAGAGCTTTGCGGCTACTCTGGGATGAGTGTGTTCTCAGGGTGGACAGGATGATGATGTAAGAAATTACCAAGGCAACAAAGGTCAAAATTGACAGGACTCCTGTGGTGCTAATGATCACAATAACCAACAGGCTAGTGTCCATGCAGGCCAGCTTCAGCAAGGGGAAAACATCACAGAAATAATGGTCTATCTGATTGGGTCCACAGAAGGGAAGTTCAATAATAATCAATACCTGCAGGATTGAATGTAGAAATGCTCCAAGAATAGAGGCCATCAAAAGGACATAGCACACTTGTCTGCTCATGATGACCATATAGTGTAGGGGTCTACAGATGGCTGCATAACGGTCATAGGCCATAGCCACCAAGATAAAGATCTCAGTGGCACCAAAGAAGTGGGCATAAAACATCTGGGCCATGCAGCTGTTGTAGGAGATGGTCTTCTGCTGGGCCAGTAGATCTGTGATCAGTTTGGGGGCCACTGTGGAAGTGAAGCAGACATCCATGAAAGACAGGTAGCTCAGGAAAAAGTACATGGGTTGCTCACGTAGGCAGCTGCCACTGATGGTGAGGAGAATTAGGAGGTTTCCTGAGAGAATTGCAATGTAGCAAAGTGAGAACACCACAAAGCAGGCAATCCTTTCATCCTCATCACTAAAAAGTCCTAAGAGGATAAATTCTGTGATATTTTGATATCCCATTGTTTCTGTGGGTGTGATCATGTAAAGGAGAAAATTAATGTCCTGGAAACAGTCAACTTTTAAAACTATTGATTTATTTTAAAAGTCATTAAATTATTCAATAAGACATATTGATTGTTCATTATGATACAAACACCATAATTAGTGCTAAGGGTACAGAAAGCAGTATGCAAAATACATAAAGTCTTACCCAGAAGTAGATAAAGTTCATTAGAGTAGATATATACTAACAATAATTGCACAAATAATTAAATAAATTATAATAATTCCCAGCTTCACACTTACTATGAGCAAGAGGATGAATAATTAGAAGATGGAATGATCTTTTTTAGGTCAATTTTGAAATGCAATTTCAGTAGTATACTTTAAGAGTAATTTTTAAATGTCTGGTATGTATCAACAGCATTGAGGTTATCTGTTCTTCAAGAACAGTCTCATTATTTACATCCTTCCCAGTGACTAAATTTGTGCTGAATCCTGAAAGTTCAGTTAAGTCTTTAGACATCAGTGAGCTCGTAATTTTAAATATCAGATCTCTAGGTGACAATTTCAGAAAATGCCTTTAGCACCTTTCCACCAACATTGAGCAATGATGAGATCTTAGGGAAAAGGGGTGCTCCGTTGTATTGGATTGTAATATATTTGTGGCTTCTCGTAATTGACCTAATTTCCCAGTTCACTTTCCAGCCTAACCCAGGAGTTTTCATCCCTTCATCCCACTTTTTAGTGCTTCCCAGTAGGACAGCATCCTCGGAGGGGCAAATTGCACCCAAAGATTCTTTTTCACTAGATCTGCTTTACCTACCTTTTATTTCTTTGAATTGAACCACTTTCTCTCCTTAACAGTCTCACTACAGGTTTATGGGTCCCAGTCCTGAAATATTTTAATTAAAAAGGACATACTGCTCTGGTGCAAAATATTAAACTATACCTCTTACTTCATTTTGGCAAAAAATGTGTCACAAAATTGTTAAACTCAGTGCCCAGGTGGATAAAACATAAATTCTACACACTGATAAAGTGGCAGCCTATTTTGAAGGGTTATAACAGCACCTGAATAATGTTTTTTACTTTTACTTTTATAATGTGATTTTCTATGAGATTATTTTGGAAAAATGTACAATGGGCATACAAAAAGATTATTAATAGGACTTTGGGGAGTTTGTGGGCTTTGGGGTTGAATTCCATCCATGAGCCCCAGATTAACAACCTGTCGCCTAATTTCCTGCAAAAATCTCTGAAATTATCACTGCTACATAAGCAAAACCAGTAGTAATGATTCTGGGCTATGGTGATTTGTTTAAAATAAATGGTTCAGGATTATTTTATCTGTGAGTTATCTATTCTGTCCTTAAAAATAGAATCCCCTCATTGAATATAGAATTTTATTAACTGACATAAAAATATTGTAACAAGTTAAAAGAATATACCATATTTATGGTTAGGGAGGATCAATGTATAAGAAAGATGTCGATTATTCCAAAATTAATCAATACATTTAATAATTAGAACAAAAATTCTGACAAACTTTTTCGTGAAAAGCTGATTCCAAAATTCAGAAAGAATTAAAATGCAGAGTGGGAGGAGCAAGACAGTGGAGGAGTAGGAGACCTAAATTTTGTCCAGTCCCAGGAATTCAGCTAGATAGTTATCAAACCATTCTGAATACCTACAAACTCAACAGAAGATTGAAGGAAAGAATAGCAGCAGTTCTAAGAACAGAAAATTTATCACTTTCGGGAAGTTAGGCCATGCAGAGAAGTAAATATGAGGAGATATATGGGAAGACAGATTGTGGGGAGAGGGAGCCCCTGTCAGACGGATCCCAGCAAACGACAGAGCAGTGCAGTACAAAATCAGAACTTTTAGAAGTGGGCTCTGCTAAGGGATGTCACTTTAGTGGCTAAGTGGGGCACGGGTGGAGCCCTCACTGGAACAGTGTGGTCTCAGGACCCTCAGGTCACCGAAAGACTGAGAGTACCTGAGTTAACAGAGCTCCCAGGGATCAGAGCAGGGAAGTTGGCTGCAAAGACAGAGACAAGGAGTGGGCTTTCAGCTCAGGGTTACCTTAAACCATGATCCCCAGCACAGTCAGGCCGCTGTTCTTTGAGCAGGGACCAAAAAAGGGGCAGATCTGAGGAGACATCCCCGGAGGAGCAGCACAGAGTGCACTGCAGGAATCTGCTGGGTTTGGAGACTCCAAACAGGGCCATATACCAGAGATAGAAACGCTCAGTCACAGGCCAGGTGAGGAAGGAGAGCAGGCACAGACCAGGGAGACAGGAGTGATTGATTGCTTTTCTCTGAGGGCTCATGGTGGAGTTAGGACCTGAGCTCTCAGCTCCTCCAGGCCAGAGATTTGGAAGACACCATTTTCATTCTCATCCTCTAAAGCTATGGAAACATTTCAGGGAACAAAAGCTACTGAGAGCAAAGCCAAGAAAATTATTTAGCCTGGCACCTGGCAAGGGTGGTAAAATTCTGGAAAAAAAAAAAAAAAAAAACTAAAATCTACCAAGTTGAAATAAAAAAGACTATTAATGAGGTGTAATAAAAAGTGGAGGTAGTCAATACTAAGATAAATGAGGCAGAAGAGAAAATTAGTGATATAGAAGACCCAATGATGAAGAATAAAGAAGCTGGAAAAAAGATAGATAAACTATTAGTGGATCATGAGGGGAGAATTCAAAAGATAAGTGATACCATAAGGCAGAATTAGAATAATTGGGATCCCAAAAGAAGAAGAAAGAGAGAGAGGGTCAGAAGGTGTATTGGAGCAAATTATAGTGGAGAACTTACCTAATTTGGGGAAGGAAAAAGGCATCAAAATACAAGAGGGACAGAGAATTCCCCTCAAAATCAATAAAAATAGGTCAACACCCCATCATCTAATAATAAAACTTACAAGTCTCAGAGACAAAGACAAAATCATGAAAGCAGCTTGGGACAAGAGGTCTGTTACCTACTATGGTAAAAATATTAGATTGACAGCAGACATATCCACAGTGACCTGGAAGACCAGAAAGGACTGGCATGTTATATTCAGAGCACTAAACGAGAAAGATATGCAGCCAATAATACTATATCACTAGGCTGCCATTGAAAATACAAGGAGAAATAAAAAGCTTCCAGGACAAACAAAAGCTTAAATAATTTGCAAACATCAAACCGGACCTACAGGAAATATTGAAAGGGGTCCTCTAAGGAAAGAGACAGCCTAAAAGTAACATAGACCAGAAAGAAACAAAGACAGTATAAAGTAACAGTCACCTTACAAGCAATACAATGGCACTAAATTCATATTTTCCAATAGTTACCCTGAATGTAAATGGGCTAAATGCTCCAATCAAAAGTCACGGGTATCAGAATGGACAAAGAAACAAGACCCATCAATATGCTGTCTGCAAGAGACTCATTTTAGACCCAAAGACACCTCCAGATTTAAAGTGAGGGAGTGGAAAATAATTTACCATTCTAATGGACACCAAAAGAAAGCTGGGATAGCAATCCTTATATCAGACAAATTAGATTTTAAGCCAAAGAATATAATAAGAAATGAGGAAGGACACTATATCATACTTAAAGGGTCTGTTCAACAAGATCTAACAATTTAAAATATCTATGCCCCAACATAGGATCAACCAATTATATAAGCCAATTAATAACAAAATCAAAGAAACAAATCAACAATAATACAATAATAGTAGGGACTTTAACACCCCCACACTGAAATGGACAGATCATCTAAGCAAAAGATCAACAAGGAAATAAAGGCCTTAAATGACACCCTGGACCAGATGGACAGAAGAGATATATTCAGAACATTCCATCCCAAAGCAACAGAATACACATTCTTCTCTAGTGCACATGGAACATTTTCCAGAATAGATCACATCCTGGTCACAAATCAGTTTTCAACCTGTACCAAAAGATTTGGATCATTCCTTGCATATTTTCAGACCAAAATGCTTTGAAACTTGAACTCAATCACAAGAGGAAAGTTGGAAAGAACTCAAATAAAAGGAGGCTAAAGAGAATTGTACTAAAGAATGAATGGGTCAACCAAGAAATTAAAGAAGAGTTAAATAAGATTATGGAAACAAATGAAAATGAAAACACAACTATTCAAAAAATCTTTGGGATGCAGCAAGGGCAGTCCTAAGAGGAAAGTATATGGCAATAAAAGACTTTCTCAAAGAGGAATTATGGTATTAATGTCAAGCCTCTAAATTCAGCTATATCCTATTCCTAACTCTACCTTGTGTAATTTAAAGATGTGCATACTAATAAAATCTTTTGTTTAAACTAAAAAAAAAAAAAGACTTTCTCAAGAAACAAGAAAGGTCTCAAATATAGAAAGACTTTCTCAAGAAACAAGAAAGGTCTCAAATATAAAGCCTAACTTACATCTAAAGGAGCTAGATAAAGAAGAGCAAATAAACTCTAAACCCAGCAGAAGAGAAATAATAAAGGTCAGAGTAGAAATCAATGAAATAGAACCCAAAAGAACAGTAGAACAGATCAACAAAACTAGAGGCTGGTTTTTGAAAGAATTAATAAGATTGATAAGCCCCTGGCCAGACTTATCAAACAGAAAAGAGAAAGGACCCAAATAAATAAAATCATGAATGAAAGAGGAGAGATCACAACCAACACCATAGAAATACAAACAATTATAAGAACATATGAACAACCATACGTCAGCAAATTAGACAATCTGGAAGAAACTGATGTGTTCCTAGTAATGTATAAACTACCAAAACTGAACCAAGAAGAAAGAGAAAACCTGAACAGACCCATAACTAGTAAGGAGATTGAAGCACTCATCAAAACCCTCCAAAGAAAAAGAGCCCAGGGCCAGACCACTTCCCAGGGGAATTCTACCAAACATTTAAAGAAGAATTAATACCTACTCTCCTGAAACTGTTCAAAAAAAAAAAAAAAAAAAAAAAGAGAGAGAGAGAAAGAAAGAAAAGAAAAGAAAAGAAATGGAAGGAAAA